TCCATATGCAAGTACACATCTGTATAGCAATAGAATACATCTATGGCAACAAATGGAACATGTTATTGGTAAATTCTGCGTTTAACGCGTGGCAGCGTCTCAGGTCACGAAAGGTCATCGCCCAAAAAAAAGACAGATTCGATTAAATACAACAGGAACTTTGGCGTTAGAGGCCTATGTTCCAGTTACCGCAAGGAGGCGGAACACCTAAAAAAGGTCTTATGGATAGCTGGAAAAATAGATCACAGTCATCATTAAACGAAACATTTTTATTAGCAATGTTTCCTATTATTGTGCCTGATATTGTAGACTGTTATTGACTGCCGTTATTATGTTGTCCGGTGGGAACTACTTTGCGATTATAATAACAGTTGTAATTATGATTGTGTTTTTATGACGATTGGGTGTCGGCCTTAACTATGTAAAAAAAGAAAGAACAATGAAATAGCCAGGAGAAATAATGTCTCTCATATACTAAATACGTAAGACTATACGGTTTTACGTCATCTCGCTTACGCATAAACTAAGCTCAAATAAAACAAAAAAATGCTAAGTATGCATACACAGCAACACAATTAAATCACACCAGTCAAAATCAAGAATGAAACATATGTTTATTTATATAAAATAGGCAATATATTTTATATAGGCTTTGTTAGGGTGTAGTGAACATAACTTCCTGTAGCTAAACATTTTAGAACTCTCGAAATTGACTTTAGAATCCAATAAAAGGGGATTTGATTTACGTGTTTGGCTGTTTTTTAGCCAGTACGAAATTACCACATTCAAAGAACGGATCTAATGGGAATATGGGAATTATCATCAAGATGGACAGCCGCGTGTGTGGTTGCCGTGGCGTTCCATAGGCTTGTTGGCAAAAACCCCCAGATAAACCCAGCAAGACATACTCCAGCTGAACTCTTAGTGCGGGCAGGTCTTCGATGTTCTACATGAAAGAGGTGATTTCAGGTACTTCTTCACATAAAGCAAAAAAGCACTGAGAGTGCCAACGAAAAACAAGACTGTACCAGTAAGGCAAACACAGATCTAAAATGAGGTGCACGAACTATGTTAGCCACAGGAAAAATGGACTCCCAATCTATGGGAAACTACTCGACCGAGTTAAGTTAAAATTCTAACTTATGTTAAATCTTCTTTTACCAGTTGGGAGCCTTCCCGATCAGACAGGCAACAGCAGCTTTCAGGATGAGACAACTTCCCTATTTAAAGCAGTTCATAACTATTGAACACAGCGAAGCAATCGACATTCGTTAAGTTTCGTTGACCGAATGTACTTTCTGCGGACGATTTCTTCTTAACAGGTTCTGAAGTTTCGTGCTGACTGTTTCATAAACTTAGCCGTTGTTTCTCACATTGAATAATGCCTACTTACAGTTTTATTGGATTGAATACTGACACTTTTTTTTTAAAGTCATACACCAAACTGAGAGAACTGATTGATAACTACCATAGATTAATTAACTAATTAATTTCAGATATAATCTCTAAAATTTAGCGGATATATGAGTCTGTTTAGATGGACTTTTGCTGCCAGCAAATCACCTAGAGATTGGATCATGAAGCCATTTATATATTCTCTCGAAGGTTGTGACTCGTCGGTGCAGCCTTGTCATCGTCGGGTTAACAGCATTCAGAAATGTTTATATGGACATCTCGATAAACATGAACAATCCGTATAGGTTTGAACGGGCATCAACTTAGCTTAATCGTAACATTGACTAGTACTATGGCTAGACGAGTTGCCAGCAGCCGGATGTTACTGTTTCCGAAATGCGGTATGAAGAGGTCTGGGGCCGCCGCTGCTACACTACCTGCCGAGCAAACCTATCTCACCGCTCACATCACAGAGCCCACAACGTGATCAGGGAGAGTTCACGATGAAGACTGAGCGTTGTATACACTGTCAGACTCGACCCTTGAGGGGGCAGAGAGGTACTGGCGTTGCTGTGCGGCAAAAAAGACGGCGAGAATCTGCAGAGAGGAAAAGGGAGAGATGGTGGGGGAAACGGTTATTGAGATCGTGAGGCGGAAGCCAAACTTTTGATTAAGTAACGTTTGACGGAGGATGGAAGATGGCTAACGGAGCGGTTCGCTGGGTCTCCCACCAGTGCGAGACAAGACGAAGCGAGAGAAACCGAACGGTCAAAACGAACGAGGAAAGAAGGCAATGGCCATCGAGAATCCAGGAACCACAAACCTCCAGAAGACGTTCGTTGGAAACGGCGTAGTAATATAGGGCGCTCGACCGAATGTGGCGGTCGCTCAAGGTTAACCAACGTCAACAGAAATCCATGGAGAAAGGGTTCGTCAACGCGCGCGACTTACTTCTCCTACTGCTGTATATGTATCTGTATATAAATGTATACATGGATGTATCTATATATATACATCTATGTATATATATATATATATATATATATATATAGAGAAATCCGAGGATTACTTGAAGCCAGGATGATTGTGGAGACAAGCAGGCGTTTCTAAATTGAAAAAACGAGAGTTGCAGCTAAAGGATAGACCTCGGCGGATCAACGTACCGTTGGTAATATATTGTTAGAAAACGATGTAGCGGCTGCTGATGCGTATCTGTTTGAGCGCGTCACCATGCCAGCCATAACTATCGAGCATGTTGCCGCGATGGTTCAAACTTTAGCGTTGAAGAAAATAATCAATACATGTTAATCATCTGGAAAATAAAGAATAAAGAAAAAATACGGGTTTAAAGAAAATGAGATACTATTAATACTGATAGCTATTTGTATGGCTGTCATGCTGTTTCGAAGGTCTGTTGAAGAAAGCCCAGGTGAGTCCAGCAAGACCCACTGCGAGGTTTCTAATGGGAGAAGATCTGGAAACTATACCCAAAAATAGATGATTTTGTAGACTTATTTATACAAACATAATCATATAAACGAAAATATATAAACAATAATGACTGAAGGAGTAAATAATAAAGAAATATATTAACATCAAAAATGTATTAATTTTTGAAGTGCAAGTAGAAGTAATGAGCTACGATTGAAACCTTCCAATTAAGCAATTAGCGATTCTATGTATTTATCATTTGGGAGTTAGCCGTGTGCGCAGTAGAGTGTACTGGCTCCGTACATAACGGTTTGCGGGAAGAAACTGCGAAGTGTTCTTCTAGTCAACGCGATTTCTTTTACCGCTGAATTGGTATTGATAGTGACAATTTCTTGTCTCTGGATTACAGTTCAACTTGTACTTATTTCAAAGCTAGAATTTGCTAGCGTCAATTTATCCGAGGCATAGTTTTTTTTCATTCTACGTATGAGAAGTTCTGCTGTCTTAGAGGTACCTGATGAAGCTGTTCATATCTATACGGTAGGGTTGTACATATGTGATCCACGCAAGCCCTCCTGTTCGTATGGAAAATTTTATAATGATTAATGCAGGTATGGAATTCGTCATCATGGACAATGTTTTCATCCTACAAACATACTGCTACTATACTATGGACCATTTGTATGGTTATACATTGATAATAGCAATGTACGGTTTTGGAAACTAAACACGAAAGCCTTGGCATGAAGCTGATTTGTAAAAGTAAAACATTTAAAAGAAAAATCATAATCTCGTTTTTACAGATCAGGCATATCGAATGTCACAGGTACATATGTTTGGCCTGCCAAAAGCTAGGACAATACGAATAGCAGGGGAATTTCTTTCGGGGAACTTGCATAACAAAGGCTCTGTGGTGACGCAATCTCAAGTTGAAGACTTAGTTTAACGTATAATATCAAGTTTAACGCATGCATCTCTAAATTTTTGCTGTTTTTGTTAATTGACCAGGTGTTCTTTATCCCAATTGTCATGTTTATAAATATAAAGTATCTTTCCTTTTTATTTCTAGCTTTGATCAAGGTGCTCCAGGCAAAGTGGAAATCTGAAAGGCATATCGGACAGGGTAGCTGGTACGGGTGAAAGATCTCAGAGAAAGCTACTCTTGTTTCCTTTCGAATATAAGAACCGTCAAAGACATTTTTTCCTACATTTACGTCGAAAGATTATTGGGCCTCTAAATGCGACTTCGAATTTCTGTTGTTTGAAATCGTTTTGATAAGGAAGCCAGCTCTCCATTCGATTTTACGTAATGATCTTCAAGGCTTCGTTGTTCTGTAGTGTGTTCGTTCGGTCCACGAGTGCACTGTTTCGCATCGTTCAAATAAAAGCTGACTGTCTACTGGTCAGTGGGTTCATGACGACTCTGAGCAGTAAGAAAATAAAAGAAAAAATACATAGTTCACTGACGAATTGTCCAGCTATTATTACCTCGTAAAGCAGTGTATAACTGAAACAATGTAATGTCCATAATTGTGGTGATTTGAGCCTAGCTGGGACACAGAACGGTGCCGAGGGTAGGAAATCGCTTCCTCGCATCACTGAATTCTATCTCGGCTAACTTGATAAATTTGCAGGTTTAGAAGAAGAACTTGAGGGAAGACACGTAACAGGAATCAGAATGAGATTGGGTGGGGTGGCTTGGGATATGCCAACTGGCTGCTACCATCTCGGCGGACAGACGGGCTCAACAAAACTAACGATCAATTTGATATAAGTAAGCCGAGTGTGATTGCCAACTGTAGAGAGGCTTTGACGCAATCTAGAACCATTTTATACAGTATTTTGTTCGAAAACCGCTTATAGGGAAAAAAGTTATCCAGATGCAATAACGATGATTAAAAGCGTCACTTTTCGGCTCAGTTACGAAAAATATCCAAAAGAACAATTTCCAATTCGAAATTATTCCAGCTGTACTATGTTACAGTGAGTTAAAGAATTGTTTGTTAAAACACAGTGACAATGTGTATACCAATTAGTATTAGGAATATATGAGCGTAGATTCGAATCGAGCAACAGCAAGCTGGCGTCAACGTATCTAAATAATAAGTTTTGAGCATTCGAAGAAGCGGTAGATATTATACCTTTTCCTGCTTACTTACTGCAGATTTCTCCGTAGCGAGTGCTTAGTTCAGTGCCACACGCTAGTTTCGAGGCGTGACGTAACCTGGACAATTGAGAATCAACTATGCACAAAAATTTCTGGTAAGGTTTTTAACTATGTAGAGGACTATGTTTTTTTGAAAGCTTGTTTGAGGAAATCTTCTTTCGAGAAGAAAATCATTTTCTATTTCTGTAAATATATTATGGCTAGAACTGTAGATTCTAAGCAAGCAGGTTCACTTTGAAGAAAGAAAACGTTGCTTCAAGTCCCGCCAGCCATTAACAATATTTTGCGATTTTCTGGACAAGAACTTTTAAAAATATTTAGTTTTGTGGTTAGTCCAAAAATATATCTATAACGTTTTAAATAGGTAGATATTTACGGGTCGACAAAATAGCAATAATTGCACGTGAAGCTCTTCCCAAAATGTCTGAAGGAGCAGATAACGATCTGAATCTTGTAATTTACATTAAGTAGAGAACTGCTTAAACTAGTTACGTTCCTTCTAAACTCCTAAAAAATATCACAGCTGTTGAATAAATATCAATTATTGTCACTTCGTATTGCAAAAGCAACACACAAAGTAACTTACGGTGAGTATAGTCAGTAAGGAATCACTTATTGTATCAACTTCTAGTATTATTATTTACCATTTTCTCAACAACACCGTTTTCACGAAATTTTTTCCGTGTTTTGTGTCGCTCAACCTTATCGCCTTCGCCTCCGTTTGTATCATTCGTGATCCTCATCTTACTTTTCTCTCTTTATCGACTCGTTTATTCCTTCATCAGACTCTCAAGATTGTTCCTTATTTTGTCCCAGCTCGGTGCCACCTCACAATCACCACAAGCAACGAACACCATTGCTACAGGACTGCCACAATATGCCACCACTGAAATAAGAACAACACGAGTGTCAGAACAATGTTAGACTGAAGCAAGAGCTACAAGGGAACGTGGCCATGTCGATAGAGGCTTCAGGCAATAGGAACCAGGCAGAGACTTGATAACCACCAAGCAAAACAATATGGTTTGAAAAAGCGGTACGACGGTTGAGAGGCGATAGATGCGTCGTCGGCGCATTTATCGCCGACCACAAAAAAGCCTTACTACCGATTCTGGCGAAATCCCACAACAACTATGGACCGACCCTCCTCGACGCAACGGCGTCTGGGCCAGCAAAACTGCGACATCAACATTAGCCTAGACGTCTACTGTTCCCTACTGCCTACTAAGAACGACCGCAACAACAGCAGGATGCAACCAAGCGCTAACAAATACACTCTCACTCCTGTCTGGTTCGTTCACCGTACCCTTGACAAGTATCTGTAACTGTAGAGCAGCCGCGCGGAAAGTCGGCCAAGCCGGAAGTGGAACGCATCACAAACCGACAGGCCAGCGCGGCCTTTTCGTTCGAACTCTCCCCTTGAGTTCAAGTAGAGGATATATGCAATGTAACGTTGTACTGACGCTGTACTAGGCCGATGGATACTAGGAACGCTGCATTTCGACTCGGCCTGCTCCCCGAAGAGTGATAAACGTGTGGAAGGGGCGCATTGACGGGACTGAGGCAGAGGAGGAAAACAAAAAAGTAAGCGAGCCAGCGAACAGTTGAGGAAGTTGTGCGATGTACAGCGCAACGATCCCCTCGACGGAATAGAATGAAACGACTGTTTGAGAGAGCGATATTATCCGTATGTATAACTTGTGGTTCGTTCGTATGTATTTATTTAGCATTTATTCTTTACACACTTACGTTTAGCCGGCTTTCGCCGTGCCGTTTAATGTACGTGGATAGATCTCTCAGAAATCGCACTATTGAAATCTAAATTTAAAAAGTACCTAAAACAGGCGAGTGCTAAAAGTTTCTTGTAGGTAAGCCTCTACTTTGACAGCGAGACTGGCCTAGTGGCAAGCGGACACTCAAAGGCCGGCGGAAGCGAACCATATGAGGTCTTCTAAAGTTTATTTTCGAGTTGGGCCTTTAAAAAAGTTATCCTTTTTTTCGTCTCTACCCTCTTTTTTGTACTGGGATTTGATTCCGCTGCTGCGGAAGCGTTCACTACTCGAGAGTCCCGTTCGGAGTTCTGTGTGGTTATTTATTGGTAGCTAGTGAAACTGGTCAAATTTGTTCGTCACAATGAATAGGTAATCTTCGGTCAATAGGATTGTCAGGCTCAAGCTTCACTGTCGCGACCAAATTTTGTCGTCTCCCAAATATGAATACGTAAGAATTTACGACAGGCAGTTAAACTCAGTGCTTGCGTTTTAGTAAATGTGTATGTGCCTGTAATCGCGTGTGTTGTGGCTTCAAAGAAGGACATCAAAGAGCCTGATTTCTATAGGACCTAACAGGCAGTTTTGGCGCTTTCCCAAAGGTGAGTACGATTCGCTTTTGATGTCTACCGGTGGTCGGCTCCATCTCAACTGCTATTGTGCAAGTCTTAACCTAATCCCCGTTGGCAAGCTTTGACAAAGTTCAAACAGGGAAAGAAAGGCTTACGTTCACACCCTTCGTCGTCCTCAGAAGCCTTCATTGGCTATACTGGAACTACGATCATGTTAGCGTGGTGGTATAGCTTTTAACGATGGCAAAGTTAGTAGCATGAACGTGTGGAAATGATATTTTTTCCATGGAATATTCATAGTAATAAGGGAAGCAAAAGTAGGCAGTAGATTATTAACCGTAATAGAGTTAAGTAGCAGGGTGTTGCAATGAAACGGAGCCCGACCACAGTGCGTTAAAAAAGGCGACAGGGTGATCCGTCAAGAAGTGATCGGTAGGCTGTGTGAAAGGATTTAAATCTTTTCCAAAATATCTAGCGTTAGTCAGCACAATTTTCTCAGCTGTTTACATAGTTGGCAAGATACCCGTCGTCATAACATTTGAATCACAATTAATGAGACAACGACTTTACGGATATATTATATACGGATATATAATTGAACATTGAAACTCCATCACATAGAAAACTTCAATCTCATGTCAATGCATTTAGTTAATTTGCTGTTAAAGCGAAAAACCTACTGAGCAATCATTCGGAAAGGGATCATTGGTATCGTAGAATAGATACTATTATGTGCTTAGGACACATCACGGGATGCCAGCCGTTGCATCGGTCGTATCGAAATCGACGCAACCCCTCGTCGCTGTCCTCAATTTCAACTGAGGAAAAGCACACTTTTTAAGCTCTTGTATATTTTCAATTTAAAGGACTTCTGTCTTGTGACAGGCGTAAAAATATACACGTTGATTCTCATCCACATCGGAAGGGTCAGATCAAACCTAAGGAAATAAGACTGTCTCTCTACCGCCGGCAATCTGTTCCGATAAACGTACCATGGTTCGCCGACTGATATGTTGGATTCGGTAGGTCGAATAGATGATATGGTACAAACCCCATTTTGCGTATCTGTCTAGTCTACTGACTGTTAGTTGTATATTCGACATTTTCGTCTGGCGAAACGGAGCCCGATAGCCCCGAAATATAGGGATGTCCACAAATGGCAACTATATAGAATATTACAGCAGTAATATTCCGTTGGCTGGCGGTGGTCGAGGGACGGAGCCAAGGGCCTGATCCCGGCGGTACGCCCCACTCAGTTCAATTTAAGTCTGTGACCGAAAACTCCCTCGGTGCACGGATGTCTTTCTCCAAAGAAAACAGCGTGCTTGCGGCATTACCCTGGAGAGCGGAGCAATCGATCGCGGTAGTTGTACTCGTTCAGCTTTTATCCGATCTAATGTTTGCGCACTGGAAACTCGACCAGGAACAAAGCCGACCCAGCCAGACCTAATATACGAAGAAACGCAAACATTTACACGCAGATTAGACGGCCATGGGATACAAGCATGATAATTTTGCCTGCATACATTAGGTCGAATGGAAAAATTGTATTGAAAATAAAAAAAATCGATGCGGCAGCTAGAATAAATGGAAGTATTTAACGACTCTCTTAGTCCACATGTAGATAACGAATAATTACTAGAAGATTTCTGTTTAATGACAAAGTTTCCGCATAACGGAAATTTTATAAGGGTCAATTGGCTACCGCGAACACGTACTGTGCCAGTGGGCAGCACTAATAAGATTGGTAAAAGACAATTTGGTATCCCTAGTGCTCTATATTTCGAATTTGACATCCGGTTCCGCCATTTAGTATTCCATCAGACGGTTGGTTGGCTGGCTGGCTGGCTCCCAGCAGTCACGAAATGAAGCCTGCCTATGCCCTGTAGGTTCGAACCTAGACCAAAACGGACAAACGTTACGAGGCAACTAAGCTATCGCCGGGCCAGTTGGCTATCCCTAGTCTAGTTGATACTAACCTCTGCCAAGGATACTGTTACTAAGAAGGACGATTCCGCTCAATAGACATACAAATCCATTTCTCCTCTGCTAAGGGAAAAACATATGGTTGCAATAAGGAGAAAATTGCATGATTGGTCCACATTTTCACTAGTAAAACAAGCATTATTTTAACTGATCCCGTGCTGGCCAAAGTTCGCTGTGCGTTTTATCTTTCAGGCAAGGCCGAAGTATAATTTTTTTCATTTTACGTAGTTAATGACTTGCTCCAAAAAGGCCAGAGCTCTTTATACTTTGACTTTCTGTTTCAATATACAACGTCTTTGAGCGAGGAGTGTCGCCATGTTCCTACAGTAATCGAAAAATAGGTTACACCAGCTTCCGCTTTTTCAAAGCCGGCGCCGTTGTGACAATGTTAGTAACGGCATCAGCACTTTAGACCTCAACGCCCAGATTTGCTTGTTCGAAGCATGAGTGATGAATGAAGCAGAGAAATCATCCATCTCGGCAGGAGCCCTTGCAGATATTCTCATTAGTTACATTAAACGCTTAACCGAGAAGACAACTTACCACAATAGGCTAATTTGTTCCTTACAATATAATCACTGGAGGGGGTTAGGCAACAATGTATAATGTAAGCAATGCGAGCAACGATTATTTGAATAGCGAACAGAATTCGGGTAGTTTTTGTGGGCAAAGTTTTGTTGAAGATCTTCACATTTTTCGAACTTCTATCATCTACAAAGTATGCAAATTCTTCTTCTGTTGCTTTCAAATGTAGCCGCCAATTCCAATAGGCCATATCGTTTTAGTAATACGCTCTTGTTACGCTTCGTTTAACGTTGATCTGTGTATTCATTGGTTTAGTTTTATAGGCTCTTTGAACAATTGCGAATAAGAGTCATGATTAATATCTATCACAAATACAATCTTGATCAACTAAATGGGTGTCAATAAAACTGGGGCGTACTTGTACTATTTTGTAATGATGACTGATAGGCATTCAAGTCTTTTTCAGAGTTTTTCTTTTAGTACATAACCAAAATCTCCGGTACGAAGATATATTATGGCCATTGCTACGCCACGAACTAACAAGACTAGTAGAAGCATACTACAGCCCCGCAAGATAAACTCCGAACAGGGTTACGTCTCACTGGATCTTAAGAAAAAAAAAACCTGAGGAAGCGTTTATTTTGCTGGGCTGAAACGGTCGAAAAAAAGCGTCTTTTGATCCAATTCCGTCGCGCATCGATCGTCCAAATGGTACTTAAACTTAAGCAGTCAATTATTCAGGTAGCTAGTGATACACGGTCCATATATCATACATTGCGTTTATGCAAATGGCACAGTAATATTATACTTTAGGCGCTAATTTCAGGCTTACTAATAGCTAAACGAAAAAAACTTAATCCACTAATCAATAAATACGTATTACTAGGACGCCGACAATAAAAATACAACTAACGGCTTTAACTAACGGCATTTTACTGTAGTGAAGTTTACACTATATAAGAAAAAATAAGGCAGTCGTTATATACGATAGTTTATTGAACCTTCGTTTTAGCTTTCTTCGCGTGTCCAACTTGCGTTGTTCTTCTGGTGTTCTTTGCGCCTCGCCTTCTCTTTTCTCTCGCTGTCCGGATTTACAGTGGGGGGTAATAAATTTGTCTTCCTCGATACGGCCGGTTTTAGTTTATGATACGATAAAACGAGAACTATACGTTTTCGCTCCGTTGATCAATTGGCTATCGTTGATGGATGTGTTCAGTACAAAAGCGAGGGAAAGACCAATGCGAGAGAGAGAATTGTTAATCCGACGTTATTTTTCGTTCTGCTGCCATCTTCAATTGTGTGCTTATATCACTACACAGTTAATGTGTTATTGATTCAATGAATAATTTCGAATTACGTTCGTTGTTGACCTTCTGTTTTTCTTCGCCAATATCTCGTGATGTAGCTCTGCTAACCGACTGTCGTCTTGGCAATAGTATCTTTTTTGTCACTCCTTTATTTTTGTTTTTTTTTTTTTGAAAAGACCCTGAACATTCTTTTTGTATAATTAGTGATTAGTACTTATATGCATGTATAGGCTTATAAGTGGGTCCAGTAACGGGGTGGAGCAGTGTTGGCGAGGCTTAGACAGCGACGTCTCTCCAAGAACCTAATTCCTATTTTTTTTCTTTCTTTCTTTTTTTTTTTCTTTATATAACCGTTTACGGAGACCCGTAAGTGATTAGCGGTACTTTAAATGTCGAATAAAATCTGCCCTGTCGATATGAATTGTGCTAAATTTCTTCTGCTTAACATCATTAGTGACTCGGTCGGAAAACTGGAAGCCAATTCAGACATACCTACAAAACATCAATAGATATAAGGGTATATACTACATGTGAATCAATCGAATGTTTGTATACTCGTTTCTGAAGATCTCATCTTTAGGTCTTCAACAACTTGAAGATAAGCAGTCAGCTTTTCTACAATTACTTCACTCGTTAGTTGCGGATATTGTTACTCTGCAGCGCGATTAACTACGTAAATGTATTTAGATTATTGTTCCTCTTCGTTACTAGTTTATCGTTTTCAGTTATCAGTAGCGGTGCAATGTTCAGAATCAGTTGATTCAGATCAATTGATGTATATATATATACATATAATTAGAATTTGTACATGTGGACGCATCGAGCTATCTCTCCTTTGCGCCGCTGTCGTTACAGATAATGTTGTGAGACTACCGTATGATGATTGCGTGCAAAAGCCTACGACCTAAAACGTTAGACCCTTACGTTAGTTTTTCTCATTGTGACTGAACAACTCTGCAATACATCTACATACATTTATTTATATACCGGCGTCGTCTATTTGCCTTTCCTCAATCTACTCTTCTTTAAAGTAGATTTCACAGAAAACTAAACAAATTTAGGCTGTTTTCTCTTACCCGGTATTAAACTGTGTACCACAATTGGTTGTCGTCCATTGCTCCTGTATCTAGCACTATGTATATCATGCATAAAATAATAGCTATGCACACCCGAATAGTGCCATTTCGGCAATTATCAGCCATTCCCGTCCTCAATGTAGATTCGACGCGTCGAAAAATCATATGGCTAGCGCTGTCACTGGGTACTACTTCGGGCGGCTGACCGTTCTTAGCACAAATCGAGCCGTGTACTTACGCTCAAGCTAGAACCCCTATGTTTCGAGATTTAGCTCTCGTATTGCCGTTAGGCATTTTACCAGGGCAGACCCGAAAGAAGAACCTGCACCAGCTCAGTAGATAAACACGTTCCTACCGCATCGTGTCGGACATCGAACCCACCTTAAACACCAGTCCCTTTCAACCCACCCCCACTCTCGACCGCTCAACGACTTTTTGGTATTCGTAATTCCTCAAACTTTGGCCGGTATAGCGGCTGTACATGGGTGAGGTATACGATTATAATAGCTGAAATCCTAACCTTGTTCACGAAAAGCAGATCAGAAGTCAGCTACCATTGTTCCTATGTAGATGTACCTAAACATTTCCTTTCTATTATTGTTAATAAATTCGCTAGTAATCAACGTGTATGCTATGCATCCAGTTTGTGTCGTCACCGTCAGGAATCTGGGTTTTTCATTGCTGACACGTATTGCTCCCTGTACAAACGATTAGAAGATACCCTCATTTACGTACAACGGCCGTAGGTAAAGAAGGGTAAATGCGGCGACTGAAAATTCAGCGTTGCTTCTTTTCGATCGAAGGTTCAATTCATTTGTATGTACGTGACTATGGTACCAGCTGACCTTTTCTCACTTATACCATACGTGTCGTTTTAGTTAGACTGACAATTGGCACGAGACGATGAGAATGAAGTACCTCGATTGCATATTTAGTTAAAATGGCGCTTCTTTTTGCCTGCACCTAAATTTTAGGATTTAGTCGATTTGTCACACGTTCAAAAGTGCCCGTCTGCCTGCTAGAAACTCTCCACCGCAGCATTTACCTCCAGCCTAAAATACTTTATCATCCTTATTCTGGCTATTATAAGTTGTCCTGTGGTACTTCGTGTAAGAAATGTAAGTTCGCATAGTAAATGATATCAAATCGCTGCTGTTTGTCGCCGGTTTGGATTATCTGTTCTTTTTTTCAGCTTTGTCTTGTTACTTTTACACAACATGCAATGTATATTAATTCATGTAAATCTTGATATTAATTGTATCGTTCTCCGGTAACGTTCGTCAAAGTTTGACCCGTTCGTACTACCTACGTTTAAGACCCACCATTTCTTTGTGAGTGCGCTAGATGACCCCGATTGAGCGATTGCAGTCAATAATACTATTATAAGCTAACCGCAAGAACGCAAAAATTCAGACTCACGTACTTTTTATACTTGCGTCCAATACTCTTACATTATGACTTTTGTATCCTATATTATTTGTTTATAATTATATTAATAAGGATGTTATTATAATATCATCGCGTTTTACCTTTTGCATCCACATACATATGAGATAGCCATGACACTAACCTGCCACTAGAGGCAACTTTTAAGTGATTCCATATAAATCCGCTAGACAACTTCTAAGACGAGTGTGCTGAGCAGTGTATGATATACGCACATACAAAGACCAAAGTCCCATTTCCTGAAATCTTCTTGATCTTGATTGTTTTGTGATATATGGGAAATAGAAACCTATTCAGAAGTAGCATTACGCTCTTGCAGCTTTGATCGTTAACCGTTCAAGAGCTAACAATCAGTCTTCCATAACACAATCTGTACACGCTTGATACAATCCATTGCTCGTATCCACACATGCTGCTTGGATTGGGTTTGAAATGGTCATTAATATTACTACTGTAGGTGGATTGAAAGGCAAGACGTTCTCTTATTATGGGACTCTGATAGGATTAAGACATCGTTTAAAGTAGAGTCGGATGAGATGTCAAATTACGTCATAATGTGTCGCATAATTCCCGTGTTTTTCTAACCGAGGTTTGCGCAACTACGATTATGTTTCGGCCGTCGTGTAACTTTGACGGATGGGACCTTTTCTACGATTGTTTTCCAGCTTTCTTCTTTATCCTTGATACGCCAGCGCAGTTCGACATGAGCCCAGTTCGTGATCATTGGTATGATTATCCATCTTTTCTATTTACTGATATTGTCTCTACTGTACAGGTAGTGACGTTCACTCGGTCCACAGCTCATCCATATTTCATTCGTTCATCCATGTATTCTGTGTTTTTCGTTGGCCGCATAGGCAAAGTCTCCTGCTCTTCACAATCACAATCAGCACCAATGTATTTGCTCACAGGTGGGCATCCCACTTATGCTACGATACTCACAATTTGCCCTAGGTTCTGGCAAGGATAGCAACAGCATATAGCTAAGAGATGCGTCCGTTTTTGTGGCCATGATCCGCCTTCTCTTATATAGTAGGAAGGTTTCCGTTGTTTTAGTGGACCTACGGTCGTCATTACCGACGATTATTGCTTGGCATAATGCTAACGGCTAAAAACTTTAACCCTTCGTCATTTGTGTATTTCAATGTATCACGATACTTTTGAGGATACTGATGAGGTGCTCATTCACGTGAGGAAGGCGGGATCATTAAATTGGTTATTGTTACACCCGTTACTCTTCAGCACGATAACGCCACCGTGGCCCGAATCGCACGCCTCTGCAATACGAAAACATCGTAGGTGGTTAATGAATTGTGTCACCGTTTACTATCGCTTGCTCTGACGAAAACGTACGAAAAATACTGTCAGCGTTTCAATTTGTCTTTGAATTGTTTTCATATCCATTTGTGGGAGTACCTTCTTGATCAAAAGAATATACGGAGGAACACGATTCGAATCGGAACGATCCTGCTACCAGAAATTTGCTATTTAAAGCACAGCGTCAACCCATATAACTGAAAGGTAAAAATAGGAAACAGCGCAGATCCCTGCTAAACAGCCAACGGCAATAACATCTCTCTAGTCTGTTATTAATATATTCCCTAATGCGCTGAGCATAAACAGCAGTTTCTGCTGGAGCCAAAGCAACGCAGCAGGTAGGACCTGGCCACCTGACACAGCCTGATCGAACAATAGAGCAATAACGTTGTTTTTGTACGTTCCTCTGGGTTAGCACAGCGGAAACTTTCAACGTGACTCGTATCTAACGCCCTGCGACTACGTCAAACAGATGGTCTGTCGTTGAAAACAGATAACGAAAATCGTTATATTTAAGTCATCAACACCGAAATCGATCACATATCAGCTGTACTATTAATTGTGGTGTCACGTAAACCCTTTTCCTCTGCGTTACCCTTTTTGTGGACAGAAAGGGTAACACAGAGGTAACGCTGCCCTTTTGAGCGTCTAATACCCAATGAGCCCGATAAGCCAATCATTAATTATATAGAGAGTATAACACTAATCAGATCAGCAGCTGTCTCTCAATCTCAGATGAACATAATTTTTTTTCGATGATATATTGTAGGTACATAGCCAACATTTTCTACCCAACTTATTGGATCAATAACACTTCTATTATTTAGCGGAATGGAGTGAACTTGCCACGATACCGCAAGCTGTTAAGTGCCTAAACGACTACTTACTAATCAAATATAATTCCAATATTCGTTCGATTACTGCCTAACTTACCCTGCATATAGTCATGGTCACGGCGACGGTTCCGCAATACGACTGCAAACGAAATTAACATGACGAATAGGAGAGCTAAACACAACGTAGCTGCAATTGTTACCTCGTCCGCCAGCCAAGGGGAGCCTATTTTAGAATAGAAATATATATGTATCCGCTAGTTAGGACCAAAGTTGAGTTTGAAGTTCATTACCTATACACACAAAAGCACTGATCTCCCCAACGAGCATCTATCAATGTCAAGAATATATATAATCTTGAAGAGAGCTGCAGGCAAAGCATTTGTTCTATGTTTATCTATTAGTAGAAAGCTGATGGCCTAAAGGCATCACATTTTTCCTCAATCTAAAAGAAAAAACTGTTATCGTGGATGTTTTCTACTAATTTAAACGATTTCTTGATACTTGATATCGCGCGGGTACAATACACGACGCATTAATATCGCACCTTCAAGAAGGTAAGGTTACACATGTCTAGAACCTGCTCGTACGTTCTAGTATGCAGTGTTTTTAATTTAACGACTAAAGAAATCTATGGCTCGATCACTGGTGCGCCCTGGCCTGCTGCGTCTATATTGGTCAGTTCTTAAGGTTCGGCAGCGTCAGCAGTACGCGGCATCCTATAGCGACAACATGAACCGTAACCGTTTCGACGTTAGAAGAGCGGTTGAATAGCGCCGAACCGAACGTAGACAAGAATTTTTCCCATAAGCTCTTGTTCGAAACCTTTGGTTCACCATTATAGCGGTACGCCAACGTTCAGCCTGATCCTCCCTGCTTTCTCTCGCTTTTTCCATCTTCTCGTTTTGCAGCGAATCAAAAATCGATTTCGTTGCTCACCGGCCATCGACTCTTTACGGAACTCTCAAGACCCGAAGAACACCCTCTACAGGGCAGACCACTGGGAGTAAGCCTCAATGCAGTTTTTAAAGACTAGTGCTCCGTGCAACGCGGGAGGCACACGGTTAAGGTGTACAGAGTGTGGAGATCAAAAATGTTTGCGATCCGAGTCCCGCTGCCGACTTATATATGTGTTGGGTCGGCGGTCTCGGGAGCAAAGAGGAGCTGGTAATGAAGTCAATGGATGGGTGATCGGATCGCTAGTCGGACTAGCCAAGAAAAATAGCTTCCGCAGATAATGATCGGCCTTGGGTAGGCCCATTAAATTTCCCGTTAGCCCAGCGTCTGCCCGTTACGCCCCCATGTCAGCGACAAGAAGCAAGCGAGAAGCGTTCTTGGTGGGCTGGTTCTTTGTCTGGTGCGACACGTAGGGTGCTTTAAGAGTCAGGTGGGTTCGACTTAATTTTGCAGGTCTAGCTGAACTGTTGTTTCCAGATGACGAGGTGAAGTTACTGTGAGAGAAGGTTACGCTAAGAGTCATGTAATTTGTTACGACGCAGCTAAAGGTAAACATGCGGCTAGTGCAATCTGCTTTACCTAGTATCTTTGCCTAAGGTAAACATATCTAAAAAGACACGTGTACTGCCTTCGAATCGACTTCGTCCTTCGCCGGTTAGCATCGGCAGTTGTCCCGATTGACAGTTTACCTGGAATCGCGCATTTTGGAAGTGACAATGCTGAAGAGTGGATCTAGATCTGGACTCAGACTTGCTGTGTCACGAGGACGCGGGGCAACGTCCTTGAAGCGACCTGGGGCAAGTTTTCCGTTACGTTACGTTACGTTACGTTACGGATAATATTTGAATCCATATTATTTGACGTTTACCCACAAAAGGACAAACAACCGGCGACAAAAGATTTATGACGAGTGAAAAGCCCGTTTTCAGCTGTAGTCCTGTCAGCACGCGCGGATTCGGTGGCACTCGGCTTAAGAATTCTCGATCGCTTACACAGACCCCACAGCCGTCCTTCCTTCTGCATCAGTCAGCACTTAAAGCAGTCACATTAGTGACTACCATAAACCTCCCGTTTCATTGGGAGGTGAGTAACAAACAGCTGAGGCGACTGCTGGTAGTGGAAGGATCAGCAGCGAGCGCAACTGAGTCTTTTATAATCCGATAGTTATAAAGAAGCGTTCTTTTTACTTTGTGGATTCATGTTGAAAAATTGCGCGAAAGCAAACAACGTGCACCTAGCATTTGCGTCGTACTATGTGCACGTTTATTTTTCTAGCCAAATATGCAAATTGGTGTTCTATTTTATGCCGGTCCCCAGTAGTTGTGGCAAAAAGCTTACCTCTGACAAACCTATAATGGGCGCAATGTCTCTAAAGATTTAAATTTCCACGAAATGCTTATCGATCCGTCAGATTAGCCCATTCGGTTTCCTTCTAAGGATCCTCGAACTCGACTGCCAGTCCAGGTTGAGGGGTGCACTAAACCCTACTCTATGGTTATAATTATAAAATAACTTAATAAGCTTCATTTAATTGTGGTCCATTGAGTTGCAATTCGTTACTATTTTACCGTAATCACAGCGGGACTTCAAGTTTTTCCTCTCTGAAATAGCACTATATTTATACCACACTAAAGCTGCTGTGTAAAGACAATATTGAGCGCAATTTTCTTCATAGTAGTTTTTGATGCCGTACCAAAGAGGTGGTTATGAGAATTTGCTTATACAGCACAGGTTATATATATATATATATACGTACAAGTGTATAAAAAGAAATTTTCTTTTTATGCACCTTTACATAGCTCACACATAAGCTGATTAGTGCTCATATCCATTACTACAAAATATTCGGTTTTATCTAGAGTATCAGTGATACCGAAGACTTCAAGACTAATTTTAGAATTTCCGCACCTCTAAATCTCTCTGGTATGACAAACTCCCTGTGTTCCCGTAGAGTGCAGCAAGTCCCTACTTCCAGCAACAGCTATGCAAACATTGCCGCTTACTGAAACGTATTGAACCACACAAGCAAACCTGTCTCTCCCTTTATCTGATTCAGTAGTCCAGTTGTACTGCGAATTTGCGACAGAACTCGACCCCTAAACCTCGATATAGGGACAAATACGCGTGTTCACGCTTACCTAAATCAACAATGACGAATGAGCATGGTTCTCGTTGATCTCCAAGCTGATTCCTGGCCCAGCAAAGTAACGTACCAAAATCGCCACTATCTCGTGGCGTAAACTCTGCTTCACTCGTAGTGCCATCCCATGTAAACCTGACAGATAGGAAAATGTACACAAGAAATTATACCGGGAGGTTTTGTAAGGTAGAGGCATTGCCTTTTAGCATAACCCTGAATTGATGTCTACTGTAATTTTCACAATGTTTTCTATAGAAATACAAATTGTTGCATTTTACGCTACCACTAACCTGTCAACTCGTCCTTCGGTTGTTGTGCTATTAACCTTCCATCGAAAGGAAACCGATGAGGGATGTGAGGTGACCGAACACTTCACACGAATAGTCTCACCTACCCGGGCATGATATACAATTCGCTGGTGAGGACGGCAAAGGGGAACATCTGTAATTCGAAATCAAGCAAAGCAGCAAGCATATAGAAAATTTGTCAAATAGGGCTATAGATGTATCTTTGTTAGCAACAATATGAGGTAGTATCTTGTTCTGCCGATATGCCTTAAAGATAATAAAATCCTGACATTAACTAGTAAACTTTATAATCGTTTTGTAATTCAAATGTTCATGTGACCTTAAAGCTGAGTAATACTAGGGTATTCCAGAAGTTAGAAAATATCTCTTCTAAAACTTGAACCAGAATCTACTAGCTTCTGTCGACACCACATGTACTAAAATACCCTTGTTATTTTTTTTACCCGGGCCCCCTATTACGAAAAAAAAATAGTACATTAATGTATTTCATCAAAATTAAGCAGATGATTGTAGTAATAATGACACACTTTAATTCAACAATGTATAAAAATAATGAGTACTGTTTTTCATGAAGACGCACACACAAAGAAGGGAAACAGAATATGTAAGTATTTTCGAAGATCACAGCATACGTTTTGATTTAAATGCCCTTTTCATCAAAGTGGGTGTCTGAGGCCATTCTGCTTACTAACGCGTTGACACAATGTACTAGCACGACTCCACCCAAACATCGTACACGCCCGATACGACAATTTTCATTGCAGTATCACTAAAGCGACCATTGTAAACTCCCTAGATTTCAATAAAATGAAAAACAGGTCGTTAAAAATAAATAATTTATTTTCCAGAATAAAGATCATACAGATAATCGCTACAAACATCAGATAACAACTGGTCTAATTGATAGGATACACGGTGTTTAAGTAGTTTGTTGAAATGGAAATTACATCAATTGTGAAATATCAAAATACCATTTGGATATAGAACCTGGAACCGAAGGGCTAGTTAAAACAAGGACGTCAACGACGATAGAACATTGAAAATCCGTGAAGTATTCGTCTCACGGTACTGTTTGTACTATAATAACATAATTGCAACAGCTATGAAGGCACCGAGAAACGCATACGGCGTACAGGGCATGTTTCATAAGCGTAAACGTATCATACTCACTCTTATGTGGCTGAATAAAGGTACCCGTACCGATATAGGTTCTACGGGCCGCTTGAATAATAGCAGATCACTATTCTAATTGCAGTGCCCCGTCCAGGTTTATCTACTGACCATTGTTACGCTGTTTTATTTCCCTTTACTGGTGCGGAACATGTCGACTACGCTTCACTTTTTTTTTATTCGCAGTTCAGTTATCCTTGTACCCCTCCACCTCTCTAGACATTCGGCTCTCCTTTACACAACGATTCGCATCCATAATTTTCATGCATTTTCTCTCCTTCTGTCTACATTGGAGTTTGCCGAATATGTCGTAATGTATCTCATAGGCGCCTAGATCCGTCCGGTCACCCTGCCGCTCCTCCGTCTTGGTTTCCATCTATTTCACATCTTATTTTTCTTCTTTTCCAGGGGACAGCTTCTTCATTTTTCATATTTCACGGTCACTGCGTTTCCCTCTGTCGCTGCAGCAGCACCAGCTCCAGTGATCGAGCTGCCTGCAAAGATTCACAGGACAGGGTTTTTCTCTGGAAAGACCGTCAACTAGTCCTCGAGACTGCCGTCGACTCAACTCCTATCTCAGAAAAATCGGAGTCTGGCTTGCCGAGACCGTGCTCAGGGGATCGGATCCCAAGCGTCATCAGTCCATTCCTTCGACCAACTCAATCTGCGGGTGGCGCGCGAGCGGCACCGAATAGAAACGTTATGTTGAAACATTTGGGGGTTTTAAGGGGAAACGACCCCCCCCCCCCCACCTTGTCACCCATGGCTTTTTCTCGGGCGGCTGCCTTGGCCAAGACTCGCTCAGGCTCTGTCTACTTCGACTATTTGGCGATATATTGACAGAACCAGCAAAGAGCTCCAGCAGAAAACGAGGCAAGAACAGCTGAAGGCGCAAATGTGAAAGAGAAATATGGAAAACGATTGCCTTGGCCTATCTCGTCCTCAACGCCTTGAAGTTTTCGGTTTGCGCCGCACACGATTACTGTGGAAAAAGAGGACCACGATGTCCAAAAAAAGAGGAGAAGCACGAAAATGTTCAAAGGCGTTATCGTTCTCACCGATACCGGCGTTGCTTTTTCGGTAGCCCCACCGTCGCCACAGCTTACAAGGAATAGCGCAGGGAACAAGACTTAGACGAGACTCACTGAACTTGACCCAAGCGGAAATCATAGAGAGATAGGGCCTAGGGGTAGAGCATGGAGGAAAGCACTTCTCGGGAAATATCAGAAAGACTTCGGTGACCCCTCCAACCATGTGCAGAATAATGAACGGCGAGACCATCTGATTCAACAGTTGTCCTTGCGCTTTTGCGGGCGCAAACGACTAAAGGTTCTGTTGAAAGAAAGATAAAGAGGCAGCAGGTCGCTGACGAGGGAAGCAGAAAGGCTTGTCAAAGAAGGAGGAAAACGCACCTTTGAGGAAGCGCAGAACAAAGCGGAAATAGGCGTAAATGTACACACAACTGGTCTAATATAAGCTTAAGAGGCTTCATATAATTTTTGTCCTGAGTCGTAAATGAGTCATCCACGAAGTGGAAGGCAACCTCATATAGTTACCATCAAAATGCATTTACGCTTACAGCACTAATCATGACAATTTAATATTAAAGCGCCATTAAATACATTTAGGAATATCGCTGATGATGCGACACGCGAGGAATTTCGTTTCGGATCTTATTATTAGGTCGAACGACTTAGACGCTGCTTTTTATCTATATATATTCCTCATCTCTGACACATTTGCATATGTGTGTATATATATATTATCTAGCGAATGACTGTCTACTCAGTATGAGCCAATAGCCATTTGATCGGATCAAATATGCGGTCAGTATTGGTTATGTAACGTACTAAAATCAACTCTGAGAAGAGAAGCGGCAATCCGGCGAGCGAATGTGGCCGGTTCACTAATTGGTGTCAAGATAGCTCTAATCGTGCATGTATTTCACCT